CCAAGATACAGGTTAGCAATCATACTCCAAGCTTATGGCCCCACTGATACATGTCCGAAGGGTCTCATGACTGAATTTTTCCTGAATGGTAAATAAATGACCTTTTCGTAACAGCAGCTAGCCCCTCAAGGTCCTGGAAAGCATGTTTCCAAAATACCTCAGAGATGTAAGCTATCCCTAAGCCCTTCCCAAACTGAAGGTTTATATAATCACTCTTCACAGTCCCAGTGCAGCTCTTTCTGTTCATGGGTCCTGTCTCCATGCTTTAGTAAAACCACCTTTTTGCACTGAAGACGTCTCAAGAATTCTTTCTTGGCCATCAGTAGCGAATCCCAACACTTTAAACCATTATCAAGGAGGAAAAGAAGGAACCCACCTTCTACTTTGCAGTCAAATGCATCCCCTACTTCATCTCCTGGGGGTTTAGAGTTAGCCTTTTGAAGGTCTTCTTGAGCACTCTCAATGCTATTATAAACCCATTGTATGGAGTCTTGCTGGAATGAGGAGGGGAAATGAAACCTTAGAAATATTAGTGCTTCTTAAAATGTATATCCATTTCATAAACCTGCTTTAGGAGGATTGACAATCTTACTTATTCTTCTAGTTTTTTTAAAGATAACCAAATTTGAAAGAGAAAGAAAATCAACATAAGAGACTAATAAAAAGTCAATGGCAATTATATTGCTTAACAAACTAATTTTTTAGGATTGAAATTTTATCTTCCAAAGTGTTTCTGAGTTTTGTTTCAATTTATTTATTTTGAGAGAGGGAGCATGCAAGCAAGCGTGGGAGGGGCAGAGAGAGAGAGCAAGAGAATCCCAAACAGGCTCCGTGCTGTCAGGGTGCAGGCTGACTCAAGACTTGAACCCACGAACTGTGAGACCATGACCTGAGCCAAAATCAAGAGCTGGATGCTCAACTGACTGAGCCAAGCAAGCACCCCTTCCAAAGATGTTTGTAAATAAGATGTATTTCCCAAGTGTCTTACTTAAAATGCCTCAAGTATATCTTAAAGTAAATTTTAAATTCCATTTTTAAATAAATAAATGTTAGATGGACAGTTTTCTGAAGAATCAATCATTTATCAGGATATAAACCATTTAAATGCTCTCCTACCACCTATATTTTGATCCAATTAATGTTTTTTTGAATCAAACCAATAAGAAAGTTGAAAGAACATCTTTCACTTCATTGCATTCCCAAGTGATGTAACTGTATTTTTACCCTTCCATATCACAACCCATCCTATTTTTAATTAAAATAGCAGTTGCAGTCTTATCTAGATAAATGAGAGAGAGGAAATGGCTACCAAGTAAATGCTTTCAGCTTTCCATCACTTGAAAGTTTATTCCTTTCTTAGGTAAGATGATAAATTGAATTGCACTACTGAAGTGCGCTACAATTTCCATTCTCCATTCTTGCATGTATTAACTTCACAACTGTGTTTAATTATTATATTGCTATACATCGTTACAATGCTAGTTAACATTTGATCATTCAAATACATCTTGGTAGCCTGTTGTGGTCCCTAAGGAACCACACACTCTGGTATCCACACCTTGGTGTAGCTCCTTCCCACACTGACCTGAGGCTTGGTCATGGGATCTGATTTTTCCAAGCATGATGTAAATACAGTTGATCGCTTATAATATCCCCTCTTGAAATCCAGACGCCATGCAGGAAGGACAATCTGCTAGACTGGAAAAGGGGGCCATGTGGAGGAGCTCTGGAGTGGAAGGCCATGAGGAGGGGAGGTGCGGAGCCCAGCTGTTCCATGCAAAACTTTGCTATATCAGTGCCTTCACAGGAGCCAACACTCAGTCACCCCGCAGAATCAAGAGAAATAATCAATCACTGTTGTTTTAAGCCAATAAGTTTTGGAACAGCCTGTTTTGTGGCAATGGATATGGGATACAGCATGTTACTCACTGAGTGAATTTTTCTGTTTATTGCTTTTCTTAATCATGTTACTAACCAACTTCTCTCTAGGAAGACTGTCAAGGAAAATGAAAAGGAATGAAACTCAAATCAGTTTGGCTACTTGTTAAAATTCTGATTGAAGGGGAAAGGTTTGATAAATTCAGAAGTGTCTTTTTAAAAAAATGCATTCAATGATATAGTTCAATAAATATTTGTTAAACTATTGCCAACCAGAATAACCTATGAATCTATGCGTGAATTCCAATTTGCTACGCTAGTGTGACCTTATTAACAAGCAAAATTGAGGAGCTCAGTTTCTTGTAGGTTCAGTATTTTATAGGCTGTCAGTCCTGGCCTATGAGAAAATAACCATTGCTCTTTCTGGTTTGGACAAAAGTCATATTCTCAAATCTGGAAGAGTACCTGACTGCGTATGGCAGAAAAAATACAAAGCCTCTCCTCTAAAGTTGCTTTTGCATTTAGTTGATTAATTTGAGAGAATTTTCTCTTATAGCCCAATATTCACTTGTACCTCATGGGATAAGCTTTGCTTATAAATTTGGATTCTAATTTTATTTTTCTACGGCACTTGAAATTTAATCAGAGGATAGTGGTTAGAATTTTAAGCAATGACAAGTACATTTTGGTATTTTCTTTAAAGAGCTAAATCCAGTAACTTAAATAAATGTATACAAAACTCAATCACAGACCCTAAAAAAACCTTCACAGACACACAAGGACCATTACATATTCTAAAGTAATAGCAAGGGTCAAAAAAACAAATCAAACCTTTGGATTTCAATGTGATAAACATTTAGGTATCTGAAAACTCATATCACAATGCAAATGAAAACACCCCAGAGCACTTGTTAAACAGGTGATAATACTGAAACAATAAAATGCAATCATTTAAGCAGAATTGATCATGATTAATTATGCAGATAAAACAATCATCATGAGATTTACAATGATGTGCTTAAATGTGAACCTAAAAGTAGAAACCATCCTGTGTCCTCCCCTGGGCTTTCTTTGCAAGTTTGCAGCGAGACCCAGATAAGCCAAAGGGCAGCTTACCTTCACTGGTCTCCTGTATTTCCTGCAGGCTGTGACATGTGCAATGACACTGGCATGTGTCTCCTTGCTGACATTGATACCATTTACTTTGATAATACACTGTCCAGGGTGAAGACCAGCGGCTGCAGCCACAGTCCCTTCAAATAAAAATGAGAAAATGGCCAAAAAAATAACTTTAGGAATGAGATTCATTTTTATCACATATACAATATGGAAAGCCATTTTAAAACATAATAAGAGATCTAGCTAGTATGTTCTTGATAAACTTGGTTCTGATAGTAATGCCTTCTCAAAATTTTTCTACTTTTGGGGCTCGCGGCGTCAAGGGTTGTCCGACTTCAGCCAGTCACGATTCGCGTCCATGCCCGAGGCCCCGCGTCAGGCTCTGGGCTGATGGCTCAGGAGCCTGGAGCACTATTTCGATTCTGTGTCTCCCTCTCTCTCTGCCCCTCCCCCGTTCATGCTCTGTCTCTCTCTGTCCCAAAAATAAAAATAAACGCTGAAAAAAAAAAAAATTTAAAAAAAAAAAATAAAAATAAAAAAAAATTTTTCTACTTTTAATTTGGCCATTCAAACAGTGACTAACAGAATATTCTCTCATACCCCTGAGAATTAGTTTGAAGGAATACTTCAGATATTTTTTCACATTTTTTTAAGTTTACTTATTTATTTGAGAGGACAGAAACAGCATGAATGAGGGAAGGGCAGAGAGGGAGAGATAATCCCAAGCAGGCTCCGTGCTGCCAACGCAGAGCCCGATGCTCAAACTCATGAAACCGAGAGATCATGGCCAGAGCTGAAAGCAAGAGTTGGACGCTTAACCAACTGAACCACCCAGACACCCCTGAAGGGATATTTTAAAGTGACCTTTACAATGCTAATCAGTTATTTCCCCTTTCAAATGTCTCATCAGTCTTAATATTCTACATATACAAATATAAAAGCAAAATGAGAAAGCCAGAAATGTATGCCCTATTTACCTTTCTTTACTCTATAAAAATCTCTAAATATTAGAAAAGTATTCACTTTCATTTATTTTTCTCAGTAACATTTATTGCAAGGACATTTTTGAAATTTGTAATAGTTTATAAATTTCAGTCTTATTTCTTTTTATTTTTTTAAATTCAACTATAATTAACACATAGCATTATACTGGTTTCAGGTGTAAAATATAATTATTCATCAATTCTATATTCACTTTCATTTTTAAAAATGCGAACAGTTAAAAGAAATTCTTTAAAAAAAATCAGCCAGTTAGCAACTACCATTGACTGGCTTTGCTAAGTAAAATAAGCATTCAGGATATCTACAAAGGGTCAAGGAACCACAGAATTTGTGGAGAATAAAATTAATCAGGTAACGTCAACTGTCCATTTATTTACATAGATATAGACTTAAATATGGAAGTGGCATATTGTTCCAGTGAGTTAAAATTTTCAGAAACTTTCAATTATTATTATATGATGTTCTGAGCCGATCAACACTTATGCAGCACCATTAATAAATACAATGAATATAATTAGTACAAATGATTACAAAATTCTAACATAACAAAATTTATGTTAGAAGAGCCTCTCTTTGTAAGCAATTTCTCCCATGAAGGAATTATTAAACATTTTAGAGAACATAATTTATATTCAAGAAGACAGTATGTATTTTTCTTCTCATTAACATTCACTCCCAGAAACACTAAGTGGTTTTTCTGGATTAAAGTAGGTCTTGGAGGGAAAAGAGACACTCCTCATTGAGAAAATAGCCTAAAAAAAGGCACTGAGTCGAGAAACAACCTGGACATTTGGGAGCATGTGAGCAGTTGGTATGAGCTTAAAATGGGAGTGTGGGTGAAGACTCTGGAGAGTCAAGAGGAGCCAGGTTTCGAAGTGCCTGCATACTTTATGTGAACACCTAACAGCCTCAACCTTACTATCTATGCACGAGGAAAAGCATTTGAGAATTTTAAGCAGAGAAGTGACATGACCCCCAGAACCAAGGACGAATCATTGGAACTTAAGTCAAAAATCAAAATCACAACAAGCATCTACTGCAATGTTCCAGGCTAGAACTAAAGTAGCATTTGTTACAAAAGGGGAGAATGAGATCACGTATTTGATGTCTCATGATGGAGTTCATGAAGAGGCTACAGTCCCTAGGATCACTCCTCTGCTTTTGGACTCAGTGCTGAGTAAATAGAGTCATTTCAATAAAGAGAATACAGAAGGCAAAGCAAGTTCAGAGAATAGATGGAAAGTTCACTTGGAAATAATACTGAGTTGTAAGGTGCCAAAGGGGCATTTAGGCGAGAGTTTTAATCAATAATTAAATCTAGGGGTGCCTGGGTAGCTCAGTTGTTTAAGCATCTGGCTTCGGCTCAGGTCATGATCTCACCACCCGTGAGTTCGAGCCGGGTGTCAGACTCTGTGCTGACAGCTCAGAGTCCGGAGCCTGCTGTCTGATTCTGTGTCTTCCCCTTTTTATGCTCCTCCCCTACTCGCGCTCTGTGTCTCTCTCTCTCTCAAAAATAAATAAACATTAAAAAGTAAGTAAGTAAAGAAATAAAGAAAGAAAGAAATCTAGACTATGGAACTCAGGAAAGAGATCTAAGCTGGAGATAGAGATTTAAAAATCTCCAGGAACAGGATCAATAAGATTTCTTACAGAGAACAAGAAGGTAGAGAAGAAAAGAGGGAGCCAACAGATAAGCGGTTGACAGATGAAGGGAGCTGGCAGAGGAGAAAAATCTGACAAGTGCCAACTTAGAAATCAGGAGATGAACATTTTCAGCAAACAGGAGTAGTCAGTTTAAACAAATGCCACAGAAAAGCTCAATTAATATGAAGGTTATTAATGTCTACCGTACGTTCCAGTCAAGTCCATGATAACTCTATAAGACAGACTTTGGAGACATGGGTGGAAGATGAGGAGAGATGTCTACAGCAATGGGCTAAAACTAAAATAGGAAGTGAAGAAGCACAGCTGAAAACACAGACTAGCATTTCAGGAAGTTAGGTCATGACAAAATAGAAGTTATTAGAGCATTATTCTAGGGCTGAGCTTATCAACCTTAGGTGTGCATACAAATCATCTGAGGGTATTGTTAAAATGTAGATTCTAGGGGCGCCTGGGTGGCGCAGTCGGTTGAGCGTCCAACTTCAGCCAGGTCACGATCTTGCGGTCCGGGAGTTCGAGCCCCGCGTCAGGCTCTGGGCTGATGGCTCAGAGCCTGGAGCCTGTTTCCGATTCTGTGTCTCCCTCTCTCTCTGCCCCTCCCCCGTTCATGCTCTGTCTCTCTCTGTCCCAAAAATAAATAAACGTTGAAAAAAAAAATTTTTTAAATGTAGATTCTGACTCAGTATGTCCTGCGTGGGTCCTGAGATTCCACATTTCTTTTTTTTCTTTTTTAAAGTTTATTTATTTATTTTGACAGAGAGAGAAGGGGGAAGGTGAGGCAGAGAGAGAGGGAGAGAAGAATCCCAAGCAGCCACACTGCCAGTGTGGAGCCCGACACAGGGCTTGAACCCACGGATTGTGAGATCATGATCAAAGCCAAAACCAAGAGTTGGATACTCAATTGGTGCCCCAATTTTTAAGAGTTTTTTTTTAATATTGTTTTAGGAACATATTACCATTGAGCTAATCAAGTAAAAATATGACTGAGAAACTTCATAACAACATGAGCATGCATGTTTTGAATATATTTTTGTTTAGCAAGCAATATCCATACATTCTAAAAAGCTGTTTTTACAGGATGGATTTCTCACCTCTTCCGACTGCATGTACAACCGATGGGCCATATCCTCGGATCTGGAATCCAAGTCCCTCAGCTGAATCTGGGATCTTCACTGTCCTAAAATCAATCAGAAAACAAGGTGAGAAGACTTTAACATGCCACACAATTGGTTAAAACAATAGTGTCCATTCCTTTATTCATTCTTTCAATAAATATGTATTGAAGGTCTACTGTGTAAAAGACACTGACTGGGCTAGAAACCAGGAGACAAAAAGGGTGCATGCTCTCACAAAGGCACACAGCAGCCAAGCACGAAAGACTTCCTCAACTGAGCACAGTCATTTGCATGGTGGTGAATAAGGAACAGGCTCTGGGGTCAGACAAAACTAGCTCTGAATCCTCATTTAAGTCACTAGATATAACTTGCATGAATGCCTTCACTTCTCCGAGCCTGAGTTTCCACAAAAAGATGATGGTAAAACTTACTTTGCAGGGTGTCAGTGGAGATTAAAAGAGAAATCTTTGTTAACTGCCCCGCACCATGCTATGAACTAGTAGTCACTTCAATAAAATGGAAGCTTCTCTCCTTAGTTTACTGTTATAAAGAAGACAGTGCACTGTGACACTTCTTTGTTAAAAGTAATAAAAGAAACACAGAATTAATACATTTCTACCTGTTGGGAACTTCATCAAAGAACAACAACAAAAAGCTAGTTAAAAAGATGTGTCAAACATTACACCAAAATAATTTAAGAATGTGATTAACTTTAGCATTTACTCAGTGAAATTTTGAAAGAAGAGTACATCAAAAGGAGAACCTGAATAACAAAAGAAATATTTTCAACGAATCCCCACGGAAAAGAAGATGAAGGAAAGGAGAAGAGGAGTAAACTGTTAGGACAACCAGTGAGGGATATCCAGTTTGGTACTAAGAAGTGAGCTACTCCACAGAAGGAAGCCAGAGATCAGAGAGCAACAATGAAAAGCAGAGAACATGAGATAAGGCAGAACATCATAACAATAAAAATGAGTATCGTAAATTGCAGTCCAGAGCAAAGACAAATGAATACAATGCAATAAATTTTGATGGATAGCCCTTATGCCCAAGAAATAAAATTGTTTTCCAAAAGATGATGAATTAATCATGCAATAAATGTCGGCAGCCCTTCAAGGGCACGTTAGACATAGTCTGAAGTTACATACAGTGGAACTTACTTAGAGCTTATAAAATAGCCACTGGAGCAGTTTGAGCAACACTGTGCCTAGAACACTCGAGAAAGCCACAAACGTACAGCATTTACGCCTCATGGCAGAGCCTGGTACTGCTATCTGAAATATAACCTAGGCAGGCACACCAGCATCGGTGATAGAAATGTGAACTGTCTATTCTAGGAAAACTTGAAAGTATTATTATGAATTAGATTATATACTAAGAAGTGATCTGTGCATTGCTGGAGTATAGGTCAAAGAACTGATTTGTCCTTTATCCTTAATTACATACTTTTTGGTGTAAAAGGCTCTATGCACTTCCCTTGAATAGCACTTTGTTACTAGTATCTTTCAAGAAAAAAAAAAGACACATGAAAATGGAAGATAACTAAGAAAAAGAAAAAGGAATAAATACATTTTCTAAGCGTGAAACAAAAACATAGAAGTAGCCCATGCTTTTATATATTATGAATGAGATTTCACTTTTGCTGAAATGACCTAGAGCTTTCAGGCCATGGTGAGTTATTATTGCTTTTGGATTGTGAGGAATTCATAACAGTCTCTCAGTTCTTTCTGAGCAAGGTCTTCTATCCTTCTAATATTGCTAGGGAAGGTTGACTCTAATCTTCAAGATTATTATATATTTCTTTAAAACTTTTGTACAAAACACTATGAAATGCATTTTGGTCTTATTCTGGGACTCTCTTCATAAAATGATCTTTGGAAAATACGCTTCCCTGCTGTGACCACTATATTGTCTATTAAAGGAAGAATTAAATTCATACAAAAGGAACATTCTGTTTCTTGGAGGAAGTAAGTGCACTAAATAATCTGCTACAAAGCTTTTTGAAAAACTCTTTGATGCCATCAAGTGTAAAATACAGCTAGATTCAAAGCAAGACTTCATTTGTATTTACCTCTCATATTTTTGCCTTTTCTACCCCCAGACTGGAGACTACATCAAGTATAAGTAGCTATTGTAAGAAAATATGACAGAATGATTTATAGGAATCTTATATTAGCATAAAGACATAAAGGAAAAGCTATCGATTTCAAGCAAATTAAAAGTAAAAGATAAAAGATGAATATCCTTAAAATAGTTTTGAAACAAAATATAAGATAGGCTCCTGATGTAATAAATAAGCAGTGAAAAAAAATGAAATGAGAGAATAGGTAAGCATCACAGATAACATCACTGGAGTACACACTATGTGCTGAACAGATAACTAAGTTCTTTATTAACCTAAATTTATTTAATGTTCTTAGCATCTTCATGACACAGGTACTCTTCTCACCTCCATTTTTTTAATGGATGGATGGGGGTGTTGAAGCAACACAATAAGCAAGCAAGTTGTGGAAGAGAAGCTTGAACCTGGACCAGAAATACTGGGTTCCAGATACTGTATGACAAACACTGAAGGAAGAAGTCAGAGGACACAGGTTCCAATGCTGCTCATCTAGTGGCTAGTACTGGGAGTGACGATTTGCCCCTATCTACTTAGTCTGAGAGTTGAGGGCTTCTGAAGTGATCTGACTGCTGAAATGTCTAGGACCAGTGAATCAGTAGTTGCAGGGTTAAATCAGGGGGTAGTAGGGCCATGGGGAGGACCTTTATGTTTTCTAATGACTGTTTTGGACTATTACTCTGTTATACCCTTCTGGTCTGCCCTTTTCCTTTTAAGCGACCTCAAAGTGTACAGAGGTAAGCAACTAGGTGAGCCTTATCCCAGACAGGGTTGGATAAAGGGGGAGTAATAGATCAAAATTAGGTTTAGAGAGAAGACATTGTTATGGTTATTCTCTGCCCTCCAGCCCAAAGTCTTCCTAAATTAGTAATTTTTTTTTTTTTAACATTTATTTATTTTTGAGACAGAGAGAGACAGAGCATGAACAGGGGAGGGGCAGAGAGAGAGGGAGACACAGAATTGGAAGCAAGCTCCAGGCTCTGAGCCATCAGCCCAGAGGCTGACGCGGGGCTCGAACTCCCGGACTGCGAGATCGTGACCTGGCTGAAGTCGGACGCTTAACCGACTGCGCCACCCAGGCGCCCCCTAAATTAGTAATTTTAATGAGTCATCTCACTCTTTCCTTGGTAAGTTTTAGCAGCAACCTGGCTGACTTAATGCTACAGAATCTAGCTCATTGCATCACATTTCAACTCCTAAGATAAAGAGTGCTGCCAGCTATTGCTGAATATATATATATTAAGGCAGGGAAGAATACTATACTATACATACTAAGAATATTTTCTTAAGCAGTTAAAATAAACCTTTTGTTTTTAAAGTGGTAATCTTCATTTACCTGAAAATTAATGAAGTTGTTTATCACTATTAACGAATGATATAATTACATTTTAAACAGTAATTTTGATATAATCATAGTACTTTAAATAGACATGATACTTAGACCTTGTATGCATTATATTGATTAATTACTTGGTTAAACAAATCACGGAAATGTGACACAGGAACACTAGACCAGAAGTGATTTGTAGAAGAAAAGCCAACATCTTCCAAGAATATACATAATACCCTATTAATTTTAAAAACAGATTATAGGGGCGCCTGGGTGGCTCAGTTGGTTAGGCGACTGACTTCGGCTCAGGTCATGATCTCGCAGTTTTGAGCTCGAGCCCCGCATCAGGCTCTGTGCTGACAGTCAGAGCCTGGAGCCTACTTCAGTTTCTGTTCACCCCCTCTCTCTCCCCCTCCCCTGCTCACACTCTGTGTCTCTATGTCTTTCAATAATAATAAATAAAAGTTAAAAAAAAATTTAAAACAGATTATAAAGCACAATCCCATTTTATAAACATAGGATTGTGTAAATCTGCATCAGTACTTAGAAAAATCAACTGTCTGAATTTCAAAAAATAACAATGGTTATTTATGGGTGATATGATTATAAGAAACATGCCTTTATTTAGAAAACTCTATCCTTTAAATTTGCTATAATCAACATGATTTTCTTCTAATCATAGGTAGATGGATAGACCTTTTTTTTTTTTTTTTAAAGAATGGACATATTACTAAGTACAAGTGCACACACACAAGTGTATTTCACCAACTTCACCATTTCTTATAAACATTTAATGATAAATGGTATCAACCAACTCATAGACCTGAAATTCTTAGAGCTGAACATGGGGAATGCAGTTCTTTATTATCAATTGTTCTACTAATTTTCTTCACTTGTAATCAAAGTCAGCCCAACCCAGACCAGGAAAATTTGGGCCACAAAAATAAAGCATTATTTCCACTGAAACTACCTGATTTGAGTAGCAAGCATGAGTATTATAAGCAAAGCAGTTTTTCCCAACATTTAAAGACCAGTATTAGTGCTGCTGGTAAGGTTTAAATGTTCTAAGCAACAAGATACTTAATTCTTGACGTGTACTTAAATTTTCTATTTTATTCATTTTTGTATAATTTTTTAAAAAATCCCACATGAATCATACAACTTACTCCCTTGGCTTTGTGCTCACAAGAACTCTTAGTGGCTTTCTGCTGTTTAAGCATGATTTCAGGAAGCAGTCCACTTCATTGAAAGGTCTCATAAAAACTAGGTCACCATTAATAGCAAAAATCTTTTTCCCAACTTCCATGCCAGCCATCTAAGAGAGAAACAGCAAAAAAAAAAAAAATATATATTTTAATAAGGAATCTATTTTTTTCACAGAATTAGAAACTGAAAAGACCCAGAACATACAGATTTTTGACATTTTAACACACATGCAATGTTTTTATACAACTTGACACAACAGAACTGTGGGGGAGATAACACACTTATCATTCTCTTTGACATAGTTTTAAATTTGATCACCCATTTGTACTGAAACCCACCCCCTTTCTTCTATGTTTTAACTTTGTACTCCTCCTGTGACCCTCTTTCTATTGTATCTTATAGTTCTTTTTCTTATTTCATCCTTTAAACTACAATCAAACACTAGGTTAATTTTTTTTACTGTGTTTTCTTTTTATATCCAATTAACTCAGAGAGGTTCAACCTCTATGTGGCCGTCAATGACAACCAAATATGCATCACCAGCATGATATAGCATAAGTATCTTCAGGGCAGGAGAGGAATGGCCTGGAACTCGACAAAAAGAGCTCCAAAAAGCACAGATTGCCCGAGGCTGAAAAGATGACAAGGAAGACATTATCTCTCCAACCAGGCCACCATTCTTAACCAGTTCTACTGCTTATAAACTACATGCTGCTTTGATTATCAGCTAAATGATGAAAACCTGGCAGAGGATATTTAATTAATGGCATAGACAGATGAAGCTGTGCCCTAAGAACACCCTCAGAAAATGTCTGGGAAAAACATTTACTTCTCATAGAAAATTACTAAAAATAGTCATTTGTTGGCCAAGCCCACCAAGTATGAGTTGACCAGAGTTATTTTGTTTGAAATTAATGTGGTGTACATAAAACATTGTCTTGCATGAGTCTGTGTTTTGGTAAAAGACAGAAACCTTGGGCATTAGCAGATAGGAGGATGGATGGCAGTTTACTACCAACTTTAAATAGATTCAAAGTTTAAAGCCATGTTTCATTCATTCTCACAGGCTTTATTTAAGATTTTATATTTAGACATTTTCTTGAGGATTAAGGCATTGTACAAGCCAGGCAGCAAGGTGAGAATATTTTAAATCAGATATATTTAGGATATAACACTCCCAGTAGGTTCCATGAGGACAGGAAATTTTATCTTTTGTTCACTGCTGTATTCCCAGAGACTAGAACACTGCCTAGCATATAATAGGTACTAAATAAATCATTCTGAATGAATGAATAAATGATCAGGAGATTCCTCTGTTTAAAAGGCTGGTGAGGTGAGAGAACATCAATCAGCATTAACCTAATGAGAAAAGAAGTCGAAGCATGTGCTTTACTGATGAAAGTCATATTTATGAGTCAAAAGTGACAGGTAAAGAAAAGACCTAGCCCTTGATCTAGTGGAAGAGTTATCTGACATACATAATACAGCCCCACTGGATGCAGTCTCCACAGCATTCCAAGCTAGAAAGATGCACAGGGAAGTCCCAGGGTCATGGAATGAGCCCAGCGGCCTCCTAGGATGTCATGAAGTTCATAGCTATAGATCCTTACAAAATCTCCATCCAGCTTTCTTTGAGTGCATGGACTCTGTCACAAATCCCAAGAGCATCTCGTAGAACTTCAGAATAAGATCATTCAGTAACACTATTTTCAACAAAGATACTTAAAAGCTGATTTCAACTTGTTTGGAACTTCTATATTTTTTAAATAAAAATGCTAATTTACATTACCTCAGCATTAGACCCCTTTTCTACCAACTTTATTATTGGAACTTTATTTTTGTCTTCTAACCCAAAACCATAGCTGCCTTCATTGGATTTAATCTGAAATGCAAAATATTAACATTATTCATAAAGCAACTACAAAAACAGGTACAAATTAAACAGAATAAAAGAAGAAAACTTATATAGCATGTTAACTTACCAATAATGATTTGGCTATAACATTTTCCACTACTTTTAAATCATGTTTCATAAGTCGGTGCTTCATATTTGATCCTTCCATTTCCTCATCCGCAAAAAAACGAAAAAGTAGGGGTTCATCTTTGAATTCACTTTTCTCAAGGACTACAAAAAACAGATCCAAATTGTTCCAATTAATCCAAAAACCAAAATTATTTTCCACACTCATAGACATTCAGTGAACAAGTTACATTCACAAAGATCCCTGTGATACTGTTCTATTTCTACACCTTCAAGCTGATGTTTCCTTTAAGTTACTATTAGCTAAGGATTTTGAATTTTTGAGTATTTTTTCAATGTTGAATTTTTTGTACTTACCCGTCTGTCACTTTCCAGATTAAAATCCAAATTTAAATAAAAGATTATATTGAATCAAAATATGTATGCAATCCAAAACATAGAAATCTACAGTGTTTTGAATTTGTAGTGAACATTTGGAATATGTTTTTAATATCCTGAACAATTATGGGAAAATTCAAATGGGTAAATGTTACTCTTATGTGTGTGAGCAATTCCCACTGTGGTCACTTTTGTTCCAACACTTCAAATCAGAATTGTATCTTCTGGGTGAAATGTGATTTTAGTTTCCACTAATTCTTAGTTCTTTTCTGTTTAAAAACATTTTTCTCAAATATTCTTATTTCAATAAAGGTCAGTTTTTTCCCTTTTATCTGAATGTTCATATTTTCACCCAAAGTCCCTAAGATTCCTGGCATGCCCTGAGGATATAGGGTTTATGTTTTGTTAACCTTTTTAAAAATAAGGCTAGGGGCACCCAGCTCTGTCGGTTGGGCATCCCACTTTGGCTCAAGTATGATCTCTTGGCTCTGGAGTTTGAGCCCCATGTCGGCCTCTGTGCTGGCAGCTCTCAGCCTGGAGCCTGCTTTGGATTCTGTCTTCCTCCCTCTCTCTCTGCCCTTAACCCCACTCGTGCTCTGTCTCTGTCTCTCTGTCTCTGTCTCTCTCTCTCAAAAATAAATAAACATTAAAAACTTTTTTTAAAAAGGCTAAATATTGATAGAATTTATATTCAGTGAGATCCTGACAGCTGGCAAAATGTTTTAAAAGAGGAATCTTCTCTATTTCTATTTATCTATCCTTAATACTTTGAAGCGCACTTGTTGGAACAGCGGGATTCATTGAACCAGGAAGCTAAAGAGAAGGTAATGGTCCCATGGCACTGTAAAAAGTTTGTCTTTATGATGAAACAGACTTCCAGGTCTGGGATTGATTCTGGGTGTAACATTGGGAGAATTGCTTCCACTCTTTGTTTTTTTTAAATGTTTATTTATTTTGAGAGACAACGTAGGGGAGAGGCAAAGAGAGAAAGAGAGACAATTCCAAACAGGCTCCATGCTGTCAGTACAGAGCCCAATGCAAGGCTCGATCTCACAAACTGTGAGAGCATAACCTGAGTCGAAATCAAGAGTTGCTGCTGAACTTACTGAGCCACCCAGGAGCCCCTGAGAAGTTACTTAAACTTTTGAACCATAGTTTCCTCATCAGTAAAATGAGGGCAATAAAACCTTCTTCATAATGTACAGAACTAAAATGAAGTAATAAGTGTGATTACATTGCCATATAGAAAGCAATACAAAATGACTGCTATTTTGGGGCACCTGGGTGGTTCAGTTCCTGTCTCCTCCTCTTTCTCTGCCCCTCCCCTGTTCTCTCTGTCTCAAAATAAATATACATTTTAAAAAATGATAGCTATTTTATTTCATTATTTTTACAGAGTTCCACATAATAACTGTTGACTGGATGATGTATGTATTGATCTTTGAATGGAAGATTGGCTGCCAAATGAAGCTATCAACCGCAAATTAAAAAGTGACACAAGTCACAGTTGACAACACAAATGAGAATACACTTGAGATCAAGTTAGGTCTTGACTATGTGATCTAAGCACTTTCCCAAAATGTACATGGTATTTTGCTCCTGCTGTTTTCCTCCATCAAACAGTCTGCCTAACAGGAGTGAGGAAGACACCAGCAAGGCCAGGCAGCAGTCCAATTGGTTGTGCTTTACCAACGTAGACTTTTGTAGAGAAAACTTTTGTTTTTAACTCAGTATTTTTTAAATTCAATATTTTAAAATATGTAGATAAAATTACTGCTCCTCGATGCTTTAAAGAGAAAAACAATTAGAATATTTGAAGGTTTTCAGCTTGACACTATAGTTTCAAGTCCTTATAATAATGTCATTTTCCTCATTCAATAGTTTGTTCTTCATGGACTGGTATTTCTCTTTCACAACTCATACAGTGTTCTAGAGATAGTGGGATATAATGCAATTCCCAAATGAATGTATGCTAACCAAAGATGCTCTCAACATCACTGAAACTTTTGCTATCCTTCCTTCTTCGTAAAAAAGGTGATAACCTTCTGAAAGTAACTGACAAATAGGCAGAAGTGTTATCCAGTATCTGTTTATAAACATATAAAAGCAGTGAAAAAGATTGTTTGGGTTTGTGGAATCTGTAAGACGGTATGAACAGAGAGGAAAAACTAAGTCTCATTATTTTTATAAATTTAGGGGGAATGAAGTCATCAAACAAGAAAGAAAATCTTTAATTACTAGACAAAATGAAACAGATTTTTTCTAGAGATTTAGAATTTTATCCTCTGAGATAATTTTAAAAGCATTTTTTCGGGGTGCCTGGGTGGCTCAGCTGTTTAAGTGTCCAACTCTTGATTTCAGCTCAGGTCATGACCTCATAGTTGGTGGGGTCAAGCCCCACGTCGGGCTGTGCACTGACAGTGAGGAGCCTGCTTGTGTTTCTCTCTCTCCTCTCCCCTCTCCCCACTCACACACTTGTTCTCTCTCTCTCAAATAAATAAACATTTAAAACAAATAAATAAAAGATCTTTTTCTAAAAAGAACAATAATTACCCACCATATAGGTTCTCATTTAATCATTAAAAATTTTTTTAGGGGGCGCCTGGGTGGCTCAGTTGGTTAAGCGTCCGACTTCGGCTCAGGTCACGATCTCGCGGTTCGTGAGTTCAAGCCCCGCATTGGGCTCTGTGCCATCAGCTCAGAGCTTGGAGCCTGTTTCAGATTCTGTGCCTCCCTCTCTCTCTCTGACCCTCCCCCGTTCATGCTCTGTCTCTCTCTGTCTCAAAAATAAATAGACGTTAAAAAAAATGTTTTTTAATGTTTATTTTGGGGAGAGAGAGACAGAGAGACAGAGACACAGAGTGTGAGCTGGGGAGAGGCAGAGAGGGAGACACAGAATCCGAAGCAGGCTCCAGGCTTTGAGCTGTCAGCACAGAGCCTGACACAGGGCTGGAACTCACAAACTGTGAGATCATGACGTGAATCAAAGCCCGATACTTAACCAACTGAGCCACCCAGGTGTCCCTTATTTAATTATTTAAAAATACACCGGCATTCAAAAGAACTACAAGTCTGATCTAAAATTATTTCATTTTTTTAAAAAAGCTATTTTTAAAAAAAACCAAAACTTCTAGTTGAAGCTTTTGCTTTTCTGGAATCAGTCTAGAAAAACAGAAGGGAAGTCATGGCAACTGGTAGATAATAGTAACTAGATGTAACAATGGCACCAGTGGTGAAATTGAATGCAGATGTGGTGACCCAGCATGGACAAGTGGCAAGACTCACACAGTTTTGCTGGTTCATCTTGAAATGCCTTAATACTGAGATACTCCCAGGGTCCTAACAAAAACAAAACAGTGAAATACATCTGTAAGCTCCTAGAATAAAAATCCCTTACCATGGTGCATAAATCCATTGTCACAGAGTCCGACGCCAAATATCATTGCCTCTTCTCTGGTACGGCAATCCCCCTGTTAACCACATAAAAATATACCACAACTTAATAGGCAACCCAAGGCTTTGTTCTGTCTTTAACTCATCTGACATTCCCAGCATGACACTGACAAAGCCATTCATTTATTACACCATACATTACTTTTGTAAGCCCAGAATGTACCTAATTGCTATATATCTATATAGATTTATAGATAGATATATTTATCCACTTGATTATGGAAATACCTTTTTTTGACATTAAATGAAAAAGCAAAGATTTAATATTTCCTGAGAAAAACCACAGTGTTTAAATATGAAAATATATAAGTTAACTTAAATTTATTGCTACTACAAATGATCCCTTTCTCTTATTTTTTCAATCCTGTACACCAACTGTGCAGCCAGAAAATAACCAAATACTGAAAACACACTAAATACAATTAATGAAAAATCATTGTGCATGATCTGTGCTGTCACTTTCCTGGCCTTGTTCTTTAAGGACACCTAAAGAAATCAACTACTGTCAGATGACTTGTAAGACACTGAAAGTAGGTTGTCTGGCTGAGCCTATACGTGCAAGCTTCTCTGTCACTATCCTGCAGAGAAAATAATCAGATCATACAACTGAAGCAATAAAGAAAGCCCAATACATACGTTTTTATCTCACATATGTTTTTATCTAGAAAACTTCTGGTTTATTCATATTAAGTATGTAATTCATATTAAGAATATATTCATATATATGAATACGTGTGTGTATGTGTGTGTGTGTGTGTGTGTGTGTGTGTGTGTGTGTATGTATGTATAAACCTTACAGTTGTAGGTTTTGTGGTTATAAAGTGCTGTCTCATCTTATTTCTTCCTAGTCAGGTTGGCCCCTTACTGTTGCCTGAACTCTGTGCTTATTTTCATCCTTGCTTTCACGCTTCTAATCATTCACCTACAATGCATGTTTTGTATGTTTTGTCCACTCATTTGTTTTAAAGTATCTGTTGTTAGTCCTAACAAGTTATTCTAATATCCCTGTGCCTGTTTCTCTGTTAGATAATAATTCCAGTAAGTAGTAATAAACACTTGTGAAAATAAAATCCAGAGAGTTTAAGTGACCTGTCCAACTTTGCAAAACTATGTATCAGCAGAACCATCATCAGATGCTAGGTTACCGAAGTCCCAGTCCATTGTCCCAATTTCTACTACAAAGAATTTCTAAAGACATTATTGTAACAGACCCTTCAGAAAATCTGAAGAAAAAAAATAATTGCAACCCGGTCCAGCTTTTGAGCAGCTTATTCTATTCTTCTAATGCTCACACTTGAAAAGTAAAAAAAAAAAAAAAAAAAGAAAGAAAAAAAAGCCAAAAAGAGAAATATTGTTTGCTCATTGATTTCCATGGAGTCAGAACTTTATTTATTAAGCACCAAATTTTGCTTCAAAACAAAACAACTTTCTTCAGTTTTCTCACAGAGTCAACATATAGTACAAGTTCATGGGAATTCTATGAGATTATAATTTCTATGTGAAACCCTAATTCTGATACCAAGTACAGAACCAATTCCAATGACACGTATTGACCACAATGTTATAAAAGGCTCTGACTCTAGTAAGCCCATTGGATATGTGAATTAGTTTTTATCTAAAGGTAATTGGTTTAATCTAAAATCTTAACTTCAAAATAGAATACACACTTGCATGAAAGTTCAGTGTATGTGAATAGGTACACTTCAGTGATACTCGAATTACACTTAGTTTTCTTGATGGATCTCAGTTGATATTTTAAAAATAGGAACATCTTCCTCTTGAGAAACCATATAACATAAAAATCAAGTTTGAAGACTCTGAAGTCAGATTACCTAGATTCAACTCCTAACTCTGCTTCATATTAGCTGTATACACTTGGCCAATGTATCTCACTGCGTCCCATCTGGGATTAAAAAAAAGTTCCTAAACCATCTCAAAGTTTAAAGCAGCAGTGAAAGTAACTCAGCAACTTCTATTTATCTATTTACCTGTGCAATTAACCAGTCTATCAGTTTGTTGGCCATGACTACAGATTTGTAGGTTCTTAAATGGTAGTCTTTATCTCTACAAAGGAAACAGAAGCCAAAACCATTAAGCAAGAGGACAAGTAAGCGCAGGAAAACATTTCATTGAATATCAGTGTGCAACAGAAGATTCTATACAATCTGAACCTATTGTCCAAATTATGTGCAAATAAGAGAGGTTTACAAGGTATATATAACACTTAAAAACTCCTCCATTAGCTCATATCAGAAGAGACCCACAATGATATCAAAGCAGGACATTTCTTCTTTGACATTTTCTTATATACCAAGTAGATTATTACTGTTTTATTATCTGATAATAACATAGCTAGAAATATAATATCTCATTAATAAAAGAATAACAAAATAGAACTTCTTCCCTTAAAACAAGATAGACTCTACACACACACACACACACACACACACACACACACAGGTCCTCAAAATGTAGAGAATAAAGCAACCCTTTTATTCCTGAATTCTCCAGGAAGGCTGGATTCGCACGAGAAGATTATTCGTTCGGCTCAGCTGCAGTGGCAGATAGCAAGGCTGTCCTGAGGTAAACATGCTGAGAACCCTGTCATTCATTTTGTCTGATCAGAGCACGGACAAGTGACACCACATCCCCAGGGAACCAAGGGAACCAGCCGACTGTACATCAGCCTATCCTTTCAGTAGACTTCTCAGATCTGAGAAATCACTCAAAGTTAAGTTAGATACCAACAAAGTGTTCCTGATCAGAATGGGGCCCCAAGGGCAGAAATCTATAATTCATTCATTTTGCAGGGCTGGATCAAAGGGAAAATGACAGTCTTTTCAAAATGTCTAAAGATCCGAACCTCAAACAACTTGAAGTGATAAATAATTACTAGCTCTGTTCACAGTTCTTCAGCCCGTCAGCAATTTACAATTAATGCTTACCTCATTTTATCCACTTTCATAAAAAAAAAAAAAGTCCCTCAAATATGGTTGAAATTTCTGAGATTTTAGTAATAAAAACACTAGGTTAGCAAGTAATCACAGCAGATTCTTTTTTAAAAAAATCCTTTTAGGGGCGCTTGGGTGGCTCAGTTGATTAAGGATGGAACTTCAGCTCAGGTCACGATCTCGCGGTTTGTGACTTGCAGCCCCACATCAGATCCCCTGCCTCCCCTCGCTGTCTGCCCCTCCCCACACATAAGCCCACACACTGTCTCAAAAATAAATAAACACTAAAAAACTCTTTTAAAATCTATCTCCATGTTTCTGATACCTCAGTACCCATTTCATTTTGGTTTCCATAAGCATCAATAAGAAGGAAAAGGGCACTCAGTCTATTACAAACCACATGTGGGGCTGTGAATTCTTCACCCAAGCAATTTTTCTTTTTGTAAGCAGAGTTCACACATATTAAAAGCATGACTATCATACACTCCATCCGTTTTATGGCTTTTTTTCCCTATAAATTCTCCCTTGACAACTCATAAACACTTGTCATTTCTAGCCAAAGAACAATTCCTTCATATCAGCTCGTACGGAAGGTAACCTTCTTGATAAGAAGTCCCCTACGGCTAAGAGATCTTTTCAGAGTACAGAGTACATTTTCTCACATACAAAATGTACCTAGGTACACAGGTGACATGAAAAATGTAACCACTATTGCTTTTTATTAGTTTAGCAGGAAAACAAATTTAAGTAGCCAATTAGTACTGAGTGAAGTAACCATCTTTTAGTACTAAGTTATCCAAAATAATTGCAGGGTGTCTGCTAGAAACCTAGCAGAGAATCCATAAATATGGGTTCGTTTTCACTTCTTTTCACTTCACAAAACTTGTTTGTGAACGTGAACAGGGCACTTTCAGAAGTGATGGGCAAGATTCTGTTTCTTCCTCCAGGATCTGCACCATGTTCTCTATAAAACATTAGTGGGCATTCCATTACACGTAAACAGCAACTTCTGAATTTATTGTTTGTTTGTTTTTTAAGCTCTGAGTTTCTTTGGAATTGGAAACCAGAATGAAAAATAGAAACATGGCACATCAAACATTTGGATTCCATAGTCATGAACTGAAAAGCCTCTTCATTCATTGTGGAAATAACACATCCATTTTTTTTGTTCTATGTGAATATTAAGTTTCAGTTAATAAACTCTGAATGATATCTGCCCATTGGAAATTAGTGTAACATTACACTACATTCTTTAAGTGTATATGTTACAAAAATACAATAATACTCCTGAACATTTTTATTAGTAACAATAAAAAACTCAGTTTTCTGCTGTCTTTTTAAAGACATAAACTGAAAATTAATTATGATTCCACTACAAAAAGACAGGCATATCTCTTCAGAAGGAAAATCATGGTTGAGAACAAAATTATAAAATTTTACTTATTAACTCCAAAATAATTTTTAATTTTCAAGTACAAAATCTTTTCTTTGGATAAAAAAGTATTAGAAGGAAATATTATGAAAATACACATCCAAGTTTCGATTATACAATTTAATGAAAAAAAAAAAACCAATATACAGTAATCATAGTATTTCCAAATCCTCTCCCAGTCAACTATTACTTACTAAATATTAACTCTGGATTATTTCATTATCAAACCTGTAGTTTAGTATGAATTAATGGCAAATAATTTTAGAAATCAGAATAAAAAGAATGGAAGAAACTGCGTAAATAGAGCCTCAGAAAATTTAGGAATATTTTAAGATAAGTTATTACTTAAAATAATCTTTAAAAGTAAACTTTTCACTTATGGATGAAAAACAAAATAAGCCAAGAGGTTCCAAATGAAGGATATTTACCTATTATGTAACATAAATATTTCCCTGTAAGTTGTCCAAAAGTTAGAAATCAGACTCACCTTATCACTGGAGTAAACAGACTATGGAGACGGCAATATAATCTCACTCCCTATTATAAAATAAAGATATGTCGAAAACAAGGAAGATCACTCAAAGACAGACCAATGAAATTGTTAAGACAAATAAATCCACCATAAACATTCTGGAATCACTGTATAATCTCTACCAATTTGAAAGTTATTCAACTATTATACTACATCAGAAAAATAATATAACTGAAACAATAAAAAGGGTTTTTAAAACTATTTTTCTTAAAATGTAAAATTTACAGACATAAGTAGAAAATAAATCTATGTAGCAATACCTCATACTACACATTCATTACATGTCAATATAAATTTTGTCAAGTGTGCAAACAAAACTGTCACATAAATTTTATATATTTACATTATTTTTTAACTTATTCAAGTATAATGGCCACTTGTTACTACATGTGACATTGTTTTGAATATATACGATCTTCTGAGTAATGCAATTTCGTTACTTCCATTTAGAACTACAGAAGAGAACAAAAAAAGTGATTGAACCCTAAAACTCTTTAAACAGCAAGAAGAATTGAGAGGCTTGCTTACCTATGCCATTTTCTATGGCATAAGAATTCTTTTAAGTCTCTCAAAAGCATTTCATCCTGGTAAAGTATGACATGAATTCTGCTATTGATAAAAGGTTCTGGGAGAGGATGTTACCTTTGAAATCACATCCTGCATCTCATTTCGTGGATAAAATGTTCCATCATCATAGCGAAATCTATATAACATCTGTTCTGGCTTGAATTGATGCTTATCAGTAACTAAGAACATAGAAACAATATATTAAAATACTGACAATATAAAAAGTGGCAAATACAAACAAATTTATAAAATACAAATTCCCAAACATTGAAACTTGGAGTTTTACTAAAAACTTTTGTTTTCCTAACACAGTAATACTATTTCAGTAAGATTCATGATAAGGTTTTGTTATATGATACATTTATAGTTTCCATATAATGATTTAGGAAATAGAGTTTAGCAACATTCAACTAGCATAGTGTGCTGCACGTGTATAGTGTATTACTTTATTTATATAAATATACAAAGTTGTATTTTCTATTTCTCCACAATGCCACAAAGTCAAGCAAAAAGGGTCCTTTAAAGAGCGGATAATCTAATTCGTGGGTTATCATTCAATTCTGAGTCCTAGAAGTGAATTTTAGTATTTATCTGTTTTACCCCACAGCAAACAGGCCAAGACCACACATACACCAATCTTGACCATTTATCCTGTGTTTGGAACTCTGGAGTAGATTATATAATTTCAATATGTAACTTATCCCAAAATTTCAACAGTTTTCTTAAGCTGAGAAATGCTATTCTTACATGTCATTTATTTTTTTTTTCTCAGCAGAAATGAGAACGGTCATCCTTCACTTTCATCCTTGAGATAAGACTTTCATATTCATAAACACTCCTATTTAACTTCCTTTCAAGTTTTCTTCTTTTTAGGAGAAATTATTTTACACACAGTCTAACAAAGACTTTCTTTGGGAAAGAAAAAACCTCAAATTAAACCTCAAAGAGTTTATATTTAAATGTTTTATTTACAGGGAATGCAACATTTGCAGAAGAGATAATTTGCTGCAACAAGCTCTATTTTCACGATTAGATGGAAGACTTTGACCTTTATTTTTGTTAAAAATGTTGAAGGGGGAGAAAAAGTTGTCAGAATTAATTTCCATGAACTACATTTGGTGAATCCAGAAGAAAGCTGAACGACTTATCTCTCTCTCTCTCTCACACACACACACACACACACACACACACACACACACACACACACACGTGAAGTTTCAGCTATTCTACCCCAACCTATCCAAACTATGTGCATGGCTTGCAGCCATCAGATCGACACAGGACTGCTGCCAAAGAAAGAAAGACAACACAGCCTTTTGGCATCTTTTTTTCCAGATCAAGCCAAAAAGAAAAAAGCATGTGTGAAAGAAAAATAATATTGAGAGACATATTTTGAAATCTTATGGCTTGTTTCAAGACCAGTTATTTATTTCTTCTCAGCAATCTACCTCTTCTCATTTTTATCTCCTAAGATTCATTGAAATAAATGATTGTCTTGATATTTCAAAATTCAAGGAAACATTGGGCCCAAATGTCTCCTGCCACAATAAAAGAAGTGGTGGTTTAAAATTCTATTCAAAATGGAGTGCTTTGTTGTATGGCAAACTCTTGTGACCTTGACAACTCATCTTGGGTTAATTTGCAACTCTTAGCTGTTGCCTTAAAAAAAACAGTGAATAGTTTTGCACTCAACTGCACTCCCCCGACTTCTTGAACATGGAAAATGGGTTTATGAGTTGTTGAGAGTTCAAGTTATCTTATGGGGAAGGTTGCTTAATGCCATCTTTTAAGCAACTATGCGATACAGTGATATTACTAGGGATACCCTGGTAAATGTTTAACAACTGGCTTTCTTGATGGTGGGAAAGAAGAAGTGCTGATTTGTAGTATTCACTAATTTCTGTGGTATTAAATAATCCCACACTGGTCAATTTCAAACTACCATAATAAAGTCACTGAACGCAGAGTTAGACGAGCAGTGATACATTATTATTTACGATTTCCATCACACAGAAATAATAGATTTTATATAACACCAACAATAACAGATAGAAGAAAAATAACACCAAGAACATAGAAAATGTAGTACAACAATTAAGAAGTGATGAGTTTTAATAATATATGAACTTCAGGGTGCCTGGGTGGCTCACTCGGTTAAACATCCAACTTCCGCTCAGGTCACGATCTTGGAATCCGTGGGTTTAAGCCCCACATCAGGCTCTGTGCTGACAGTTCATAGCCTGGAACCTGCTTCGGATTCTGTGTCTTCCTCTCTCTCTGCCCCTCCCCTGTTTGTGCTCTGCCCGCCCCCCCCCCTCAAAAATAAACACTAAAAGATTTTTAAAATAATTTATGAACTTCGTTTCTAATACAATTTATGTACTATTTATTTAATTTTTAATAATAGCTGTGCCTCACAACAAGCTTGCAAATTTTTAAGAAATTTAATTACCAGCTCTCTTAAGTTTGTACAAGCCAACTTCACACACCACCGGATATAATGAATGAGGTCTCTGAATTCTTGCTTAAGCATTTATAATGTAAATAGTAGACTCAGACAAGAAAGTATTATCAGCATATCATACAGAAAGCATATGCTGCCTCAACCCAATAATTCCTGGTATAGCTGGGCTTTGCTTTTATGAAGTTCTCAACAATATAAGCAATGTGAATGATGGCAATAACAGTCAACTCTTTTTGCATGATCTCTTTAAAACAGATGGTCCATTCAACTTTATTTTAGGAACTCTATTTCCACTAGAATGCAGCTGGAACCACATACCAATAAAACTAGCACGTATGGCTCATATTTCTCCATTCTAATAAAATTACTAATGTGAAATAGCATAATATGTTCTCTTACCCCTAGTTGTGGGGGGTCTGTACAGGTTAATTTCGGACACTTAAAAAGGGTGATTACTTTTAGTAACAAAAATTCTGTATGCCAAATCTAACATCACCACTGACCAAATCCTGATAACAATAATAGTACAGGCCACTAAAATCAAACTGCGACAAACAATTGTTATAATTTCAAACTTTGCATTTGAAATTTCAAAATAAATTTTAATCCAGAATTTATCTCCTTCTTCCTTTTCAAAATGGTATTGGAGAAAAGTGGTGTCTGAGTTGGGGGATAAGTTGATTAGGACTGAAATTCTCTCATTCTGATATCCCTTATAAAAAAATCTTATGTTCTTGATGTTTTTTCTCATTAGAGGGAAGCAATTAAAAATATTGTGAGAGGGGCTCTTGGGTGGCTCAGTCGGTTAAGCCTCCAACTCTTGATTTCAGCTCAGGTGACAAACTCATGGATCGTTGAGTTTCAGCCTGCATCGGGCTCCGTGTTGACAGTGTGGAGCCTGCTTGGGATTCTCTCTCTCACCTACTTTCTCTGCCCCAACCTTGATTGCTCTCTCTCTCTCTCTCTCTCTCTCTCTCTCTCTTTCTCTCTCCCTTTCTCAAAATAAAAAAAACTTAAAAAAATATTGTGAGAAGCATTTTAACAGAATAAATAAGGGTGGTTCCCTCTCTATGGAACTCTGTAATTCCTTCAAGAGCTTCCAGCAGTTTTGAACTGAAGAACAGATAAGACACAAAAAGACTGTTCATAAAGATATTTAATAAATATTATTTCAACTCTACTTTGTACTAACTTACAATTAACATGAACATGTTTGAGTAGTTGTTCATGACTTCAGGCAAAGTAATAACAGCTTTGTCATTGTAAAGTCAGTAAAATTCCACCTATAAGAGTTATATCTTCAATTTCCAGAACCCAATGCACTATGCAAATAAGTAACTAATTATCATACAATTCCTAGATCACCTTTGATGAAAGATGAAAGCAAGAGTGGAAGGATGGCTTGAAAATAACCTAATAGCTCCTTTCAAAGGACATCCTCTCCCCACACCTTAACTCCTTCCGGCTTTGCAAATAAAATCTGTAACATACTTTAATCTATCATAAGATACCTCTTAGTCAAAACAGGAAAACATGACAAAATTAGTGTGTAACTCTAAAATATAGTAATAATCTGGGGCACCTAGGTGGCTCAGTCAGTTAAGTTTCTGCCTCTTAATTTCAGCTCAGGTCATTATTTCACAGTTGGGCTCTGTCCTGAGTGTGGAGCCTGTTTAAGATTTTCTCTCTCCCTCTGCTCCTCCCCTGCTCCAAATAAATAAATAAATAAATAGTAATAATCCCACAGAAGTAAAAAATATTGCATTTTTTAAACAGTCTTTTAAACAAATTTAAATAGCAACATCAATTGTTGATAACTTTAAGATCTTTTTTCTCTTATTTCTAGTTCATAATGGTTTGAAGTCACTCAAATTAACAACTTAAATTAACAATCATGAAAACCTCCACTGAAATAGAAATTTTGAAAGTTATTTTTATGACTATTACATGCTGACATCATCATAAAACACCGACAAGTTTATATAATGATTACTCTGTCTTTAATATAATTCCATAGATCTTATATTGATCTGGGAGCTATGCCTCAGTGGCAGAAATTGGATCACTGTTTAACAAATTGGTTTAGCTTTTGTCTTTCCTGAGCATGCAGCTATACTACATTTCTAAGTTTCTCTTGCAAGAAGTAAGGAGTGGCCACATAACTGAGTTGCACCCAAGGACATGCACACAAAAGGCACAATGGAAAGTGTACAGGCCCATTTAAAACAAACAAAACAAAACTCCACCACTCCTTCAAGGCAACCTTTAAGAGCCTTGCACTGAAGATCAGTGGGCCTCTATCAAACACCAAAACCCTGTGTGGGGGAGAACACCCAACCTCATCTACCAAAGACTGGACTTTACCTGAGTGACAAAGTAGCTTCTAGAATGTAAGCCACTAGATTGAAACTTATTTGTTACAGCAGCTAGTGTTAACCAATACTTTTCCTTCTCAGTGCTCGCTGCAAAACAAAAAAAGTTAATTTTCCCATCCTATTAGATTTCTGCCTTTCTGAAAGGAAATAGGTCAATAGCTGGATTGCCTGGTGAAGAGGATAAAAGGATAGGCTTAAAAAAACTACTAGACCATAAGAAATAAAGGTCATTAGTTCATGTTTACATACCTTAGAGCACCTAGCAGAGTATCTTACATGCAGAATGAAGGAAAGAGTTGGTAAAGAAAAAAATGAACAAAGGTGATCATAAACAGATTTTCCCTTCTTTGTTCTATTGGTAATACATAGTCCCTGGAAGTACGCGGTCTAAATGAGAAAGGAATCTCCTGATTTCTGAAGGTCAATGATTGTATGCAAAACCTCTCTACATTCCACCTACTTGAGCTTCAATGGATGACAGGACAAAACACATTCCCTTCTTGACCCAAGTATACACTCAGACTTGGGCTTTGATGAAAGGAAAAAGCAGCAGCAGAGAGGAAAGTCATGTAGCTCAACACTTTTTGATATTTACTTATAAGTTTTTGGATGATGCTTTTTAGCATACTAGATGCTAAAGGGTGATTTCATAGTGTTAAGGAATCAAGTACAAAATCATATATAATTTATCGGTATTATCTGTTTACTCAAAATATAATTATTCATTGATTCATTTACTGAGCAATATTTATTGAGCATCTACATGTGATGGGCACTCCAGGTATTTACTATATATTAACTAACAAGACTCCTGTTCTTATGGTACTTATATTGTGATTGGTGGCTAGAGTAGGTATGGGAGACAAAGAGAGAAGTAATAAATAAATCAAATAACATGATAATTTTAGCGAGTGATAAGTTCATGAAGAAAATTTCAAAAATTAAAAACGCAGTTTATTGGAATAATGGGATGAGTCAGAATGTCATTGAAGATGTGAATCATGAATACTGAGACTTTTATCATTTCATTTTCTGCTGTATCTCTAGCACCTAGAAAGGTCCCTGGCGTATACTGGAACTAATAAATAATTGTTGAATGAGAATGGCAAGAACAAAGTTCCTAAATACACAGTCATCTTGGAGTGTTCAAGGGAGAGACAGAAAGCTGCAGTGGCCACAGTGTAATGAGTTAGGTATAATACCATGTGCTGACTCACAGAGGAAGTCAGGGGCCCTATCATGTGGGGCCGTATGGGCCATGGTAAGAGATCTAGACCACGGTAAGAGGTTCTGGACTTCTCTTTGAGTTTAATGGGACTCCAGTAGATGATTATAAGTAGGAGGATGCCTTGATCTTACATCTGTTTTAAAAGGTCTCTTCAGCTGTTATCTGAAGAGGAGTACCATAGGGATGGTGGACGAAAGTGGAAGCCAGGAAAGAGAAGATGGTGCTTGGGAGGAAGGTGGGATTCTGGAAGGGAGAGAAGTGGTCTGGTTCGGGACCTATTTTGGTGGTAGAGTTCACAGGGTTTGAGGGCATGAGGGATAAAAAGGAATTCCAGATGATTTCTATCTGGATAGATGGTGGCACATTACATCGGTGGCACCCAGTGCGGTGGGGAAAAACTGGGAGAATCTAGCTCATTTTCACCCCACTCTAATTAAAAACAAAAATGAACACTGAAATACCTTGGCTCAATAGCCGTATTTATTCACAATTACCTCTTTTTCTCTTCTCCCACATTTTGCATTAGAAATTCTTCAAGCTTGGGGTGCCTGGGTGGCTCAGTCAGTGAAGCGTCTGACTTTAGCTCAGGTCATGATCTCACAATTCGAGTTTGAGCCTCGCTTCGGGCTCTGTGCTGACACAGAGGATCAGATGTGCCTACCTTTCTCACCACATCCTCCCTCCATATATTCATCCATGAAGTATACTCTCTTGCCATGTGACATTCTGTGCTAGTTCCTGAAGAGGCCACCATGAACTTTTTCACTCCCATGCCTGAGCACCTATACCATTCCTCAGGGTGGGACATCCTTCTGTCTTTCTGTCCCTGTGAGAGTTCTACTCTCTACATTGTGCAACCTTAATGCCCTTTCCCTCATGAAGCAGTCCCAAATACTCCAGTGAGAACCTGCCATTCCTTCCTCCACACTCCCACACTTACCTGTATTTCTAATTCTTGCCTGTGTTGTAGTCGTTCGTGTTAAAGTTAGCAAATATATCACCATACCCCATACTCCCTGAAATGTAGTTCTGTATTTATTAGTCACTCAAATATGTTGTTAAAAACACATAAGCATCCTATAATGTGGTGATTTGCTCTACGTTAAACTGATTAATGAAATCATGCAATCTGTGGATAAACAGAATAATTTAGTTTTTAATATTTTATAATTAATAATTTCATAAAAGAATTACCATGGTGGATGATTCCATTTTCTAACAATGCTTGTCCTAAGTGAACCCCTTCCTCAGGCCTGTGAATCTCTCCAATTTCCAACAGCCATGACACAAATTCACTGCAATAGAAATCCAGTGAAAAAGTTAATTTTTTCCTCTGAAAGTCTATCTGTACCATGCTTTCATCAGGCAGCTATGGAAGGAGTCTCAAATATAAAAAAATATTTGCAGTGCATTTCAGCACGCATTTTTTCACATATGCAAAGCCCAAAATTATTTAAATTTTACTCTATCCTAGGAAACAAATGTCCATAGCTTACCTAAACTATACTTAATAACTATTCAACTTACTGAGACCTCTAATAAACACAAATGGAAAATTTTAGAGTAGTTTTAACTATAAAGAGAATATAAGAGACCCTAAAGATATCCAACAGACAGAATAATAATGATTTAATATATAAGAAACAGACTGTCTGGAATGTGGCTTTTCAGGCACAGAGAACCAGTGTGTTTGAAACTCCAAGAAGGCAAACTAAAAACTAAAAACTAAAAAATAAAAATAAAAAAATTCATATCCCATATGGTGGACAGAATTCTAAACATGTCCTCTTACCCCCACCCCATCAAGAATCCCATTCCTTGGGGCGCCTGGGTGTCTCAGTTGGTTAAATGTACGACTTCGGCTCATGTCATGATCTCTTGGTTTGCGAGTTTGAGACCCACGTCCGGCTCTGTGCTGACAGCTAAAAGCATGGAGCCTGCTTAGGATTCTGTATCTCCTTCTCTCTCTGCCTCTCCCCTGCTCGCTCGCTCTCTCTCTCTCAAAAATAAATAAACATTAAAAAAAAAAAAAAAAAGAATTCCATCCTTTGGTTTTGTAATCAAATCCTAATCTTGGTAGTGCTGTGAATGGATTTTGTATATGAAATTTAAATCCCAAGTCAGCTGACTCTCTGAGAGTGGTCCTGGCCAACAGTCAGCACAGAAATAGGACTTACACTTACAGCCACAGAGGACTGAATTCTGTGGACTGAAGTTGCCAGCAAGTTCAATGTGCTTGGAAGTGAATTTGTTCTCAGAGCCTTAAGATAAGGGCCCAGCCTCAGCCCAACCCACAACCTTGAATTTGGCCTTGTGAGACCCTAAGCAGGCAACCCAGTATTGCTCACCTGGACTTCTTTCTCACCTAGAGAATTATGAGCTAATGAATGGCAGTTTTTTCAAGCCACTAGGTGTGTGATAACTTATTTTGCAGCAATATAAAATTAATACACACCAAAAGCCATAGGAAAGTCTTCCTATACTGTTTTCAAATGTTAAAATTATCTAGTAAATTCACTGTTGTATCTAAACCGTCATCCAAAAGGAATACTCCAGCACAAAACAATCCATCAGAACTGTCCACCGCATACATCTGCTGTGGCTGTGAAGGACAGAGAGGATCACAGCTCACATCTGTCACCATTTTGGGGTGGGAAGAGGAGCCCCAGATATCACAGATAAGTAGGATGATGCTTTGCAATACAGGAGAGCACCAGCTGGGTCATGGTAATTGTTATGGCCGTGTGGTATCATTAGAAGAACATTAGATACAGAAACGTTTTACAATAAAATATTCTATGGTGCTCATGTTATAAAAACCTAACATTTGAACTCTTACATAAAGTCACAGATACATTTTAGAGTGGTTTTAATTTTGCACAGAGGTCAGAGAAGCCAAGCTATGGAAAATGTCGAAAATTACTTTTCCATTTATCCAAAACCAAGAGCAATGCATATGGCTACAGTCAAATAACTGAGGGACATGAAATTCTAAAAATGGGTATCTAGACTAAAAAGTACATTTTAAGGCAGAAGAAGTTGTTAAAATGCTTTTAATTCTTTTATTAAATAGGAGCCATCCAAAAGAAAGTTTAAACAGAAGTAAAACTTCAGTTTTGTCCTCAATAGCACAAAAATAGTAAGAATATCAACCCCATAGCACTGTCACAGGATTAAATGAGCTGATGAATGATAAAGGCCACAGTGCCTGGCACATTTTGAGCGCTTATTAAATGTCAGTGGCTGACAGGTGAGTTGTGCTGTTTGGTATGTAGCTAAAGCATCATTTTGTTCCGATGTCAGCAGATTCCTGAATGTGTCAAAAAATCAGGAAAAGAGCACTTTTTAAGTATTTCTATAAATCAGGAGCATAGGATAAAAAAAGAGAAGGGGTACGAAAGGAAGTTAATGGGTGGCTTTACTGTGGGACTTATTCAAATCACAAGGAGATCCCATTAACGCTCTGCAAAAGGACTGTAATCCAGTCAAAAACAATCTCCACCTTGGGCTGTAACACAGAGGTAGCGTGCTGTTGTGGAAAAAGCCACAATGAACACAGCTAAAATTTACTGTGTCTCTCCTATGTACCAGGCGCTCTGGAGAAGGCTTACAATCAATCATTGCAACTAACATGCATTATGGTCAGGGTAAAGGGTTTACAAAACCCTGCTCTTTCAATTAGGAAAACGCGACCCTGAATTAACTTTCTATCTCTGTTTCCTAGAACCTGATGAAGGCAGGGCATCAGCTGTGTTGCCAGGCAGCATTCTTATGGTAAAAATGACCCCTGATGGGTAAATGGAATATTAATAAATACCTGGTGAGAAGCCATAGCTTGAAGTGACACTCTTATAAGTAGGCATGTCCCTATGAGAAGTGGGAAGTTATGCCTAAAAGGTTATAATAAGAAATAGTGTCTCTGTGGGGCACCTGGGTTGGCAGGCTGAGTGTCCGAGTTCTGCAGTTCCTGAGTTCAAGCCTCACGTCAGACTTGCTGCTGTCAGTGCAGAGCCTGCTTCAGATCCTCTGTGCCCGTCTCTACCTCTCCCCCTGCTGGCACTCTCTCAAAAATACATAAACATTAAAAAAAGAAGAAAGACAGAAAGACAGACAGAAAAAGAGAGAGAGAGAGAGAGAGAGGGAGGAGGGAGGGAGGGAGGGAGGAAGGAAGGAAGGAAGGAAGGAAGGAAGGAAGGAAGGAAGGAAGGAAGGAAGGAAAGAATGAAGGAAGGAAGGAAGGAAAGAGTGTCTTCTTTGCAGCATTGAGGTTTCCAAGCGCAGGTGGGCTCACATCTGCTCTTTCTCTTGCACAAAAGCTGTCACCTGGGGGCCTACCGATGATAGCCACACTAGCTTGCTGGCAGTTGGGTGGTCT